GGTAAGGAAATTTCCTTAGAAAGGTGCCAGAAATTGATTGGTTCTCCAACAACATCCTTTACACCTATTTGTCATGTAATAGGCCATATTTGTATTCTCGGTACTCGACTGGACCAAGCTTGCAATGGAGGTTCATACAGGGAAAAAATCGTTAAAAAGATGTTTATTCATTTGCATTTGAAAAGACCCCCTGCATTAGCCTCGCTTGCAAGCTAGTTCAAGTCCAATAACAAAAATACAAATATGGTATAATGGCGCATGATCACTTCGGTATCCAGTCATCAACATCATCATCATCATCATCATCATCATCATCACAACATGGTGTTATGACACCAATAGTGTGAGTATCCAGTTACGGGTACTAATTACAATTTGAATGGGGCATCTTTGCCACTCATCTTCAATGCGTTCCCACTGTTATTTTGCCATTCAACAAGAAAACTACCTGCTATGCTTTCTAAGAATCTGTTATCGGCAGCCTTTTTTGTAGTGGTTTAAATGCACATGTATGTTGTCTGTAAAACATTGGTTCATATAAAAGTGTTTATTTTAGCAATAGACAGGCATTGAAAGTGTTAGTAGCAACTATTGTGGAAAAAATATCTAGTTCAGACTGGTATAGGAAAAAAATATCTTTTAATAAACTCTTTAAATAACAAACATAAAAGGCTCTAATAACTATAAAAATTAATGTTACAACAACAAAAGTCATTCCTAAAAAACTTTCTCAAATTTCTGTATATCTTATGATTGAACTTCAATTTCTTTTAACAAACTTATAACTTACATACTCTATAATTTACTGGTTTTCTGTTTAAACTGAACCATAAGTTACTTCTCTCAGAAAGGTCAAATACTAAGAACACATTTTAACCTGAGCAATATCTTTTAGAATTATTAAGCATTTTCTATAAATATTCGATTTGAAGAACTGCAAGCACACTCTTCTATTTGTAGAACTATAAAGCACTCGTTTAAGAACTTTAAAATGAGCTATTTTGCTTAACTTTTTAGAGTTTCTAACAAAACTAATAATCTTTTGAAATATATTGTTTTCAAATTTCAGTCGATACTATACCATGCATTATTACACGATTAAGTTAGTTCAGAGGACCAATAACTAAAAATCAACCAATCAGATTGCTCCATTGCCAGTCAAATATTCCTGAGTATGGGAATGGGCACCATCTCATGTGATCCCGCAAGATCACTCTTGAAGTTTTTCGGGTAGTTTTAGTCATGTAATAAGTCTATTATTAACCATGCTTGCTCAGGACCTTACTGGTAGAATATTGGCCCTCTGTCTTTTTCGTACCGAGCCTTGCTGTGCTTGGTCCGTACTGTCAAGACCTAGAGCTGATATTCTTCCAGTAAGGCCCTCATGCTTAGTTGATATGATAATTATATATTTGAAACTTAAACTTTTCTTTTGGCCTGTAAAGATCTCAGTTTTCTCAAATTCTCCTCAGTTAGCTGGTCTCCGGGCCGTAGTCTGAGTGCTTTCATGTAGCTCTTCTCTGCTTCATCAAGTTTTCCTTGAAGATGCAACATGGCTCCAAGATTCATATGGGCTGCAGGATTCTAAGAACAAACCAACATGTTTTACTGCTACAAAATAATGTATGTCATCAACTTGGGTAGTAGGTTTTAAAGAAACTGTTGGGCTACATATGCCATTTAAATTGAACCCCAAAAAGAGACCAATCATAGCATGGCTTGAGTTTTCTTGACCCCTAAAAGGTACCACTTCAAAATGGACAACATTTGTTCAGTACTTCTTCAAGTGCAACCCTAAAAGATACCTTGAAAGCTGAAAATAGTGGCATTTTGTCCCAAGCAACCTAAGTAAGACCAAAACCTGTGCTTTATACCCCATCGCATATTTTTTCACAGAGGAGTCCCCCTCCCTGGGCCAGCTACATGCCCAACCTTTATGTACAGTTATCTGGCATTTGTTCTTGATCAGGCAGTTTTAATTATGCAATGTTGAGTTTGAATCTATACCAACTAGCGTATTGCTCCCAGGAATTTCGCATGCTGCCACAAGTAAATTCTCCTCGAACACTTATTTATACTGTGTAGGTGAGAAATTACTGGCCATGTGTCTTTATCATGCAAGACAATGTTTTGTTCCATGAAAATGTCCATACCCCTTCCGTGGAAGGGTTTTTGGTTTGAACCACAGAACCCATGAGCACCCCTGTGGAAATTCCAGTTTAGTTCCAACTCTTTCCTCTGGCTTTTGAAATCCTCCTCCCCCCTGGAGTTTTCAATGACCCCTCCTTAGGTGGGGATCATGGTTATTGCTGGTAAAGTGGACAATGATAATTTACCTCTGGATTTAACTGGACTGCTGTCTTATAACATTTTTCTGCCTTCACATTGTCTCCAATTTCTCTAAAAGGAAATAATAAACATCAAAATTGAATCATCCTTGGACTATGTAAACTGGTACATGTAGATCAAAATGAAAATAGTTCAGTTCTGAAGTTGAAGCACACAAACTGCATCAAGCCAGCCTATTTTCTTGTTTACCAAAACGTACCTAAGATATCCAGCAGCAGTAAATGCAATCTCAAAATCACCAGGAGCTAACTCCATTGCCTTTGTAAACATTGCAGCTGCCTCAACCACTCGCTTCTGATCATACAAAAACTGGCCTGGAAGAAAACAAATATACACAAAACATTAACAAATATCAACAAATAATAGATTGGCTCTGTAAAACACTTTTATTCTTTTATTTCCATGTAAGCTGTATTGATGACAGTATAAATAGATATTCTAGACCTGGTTGTTCGAGAGCTGATTATGCTACTCCAGGATTAAAAGTTAAACAGAGTTCTAATTTCTCTTGAATAATAATGTTTTCATTGTCCATGTTTCCTGGAGTTTACATAAGTCAAAGCCAAAATTGAGGGACCAAACCGTTAAACAAAAAACTTTTCTGAAAAGTTACAAAATTGAAATAAAAATTTACACTAATCCTGGATTAGCTTAATCATGCTTTGAACAACCCAGCCCTGGGGTTTTGTCTCACTAAAGAACTAAATTTCTTAAGCAGAACCAAACTCACCTAAACGGCTAATATTAACCTACCATAATGAGTCCAGGAACCGTGATCTGATTTATTCAACGCCTGTGCTTTCTTAAACCAATCCTCTGCTTCAGTGAAGTGGCCCTAGAAAATGAGCATTTAATGATTGCTATTGCTATATTACACTTTAATTTCTATCTTTCATTGGTAAGTCATTTTATTCTGAAGTGTTAGTCCTCTGGATTACCAGTATATTTATGCCATGTAATAATTAAGTTGCCATGGCAGGCACGGTGGCCACATGGTTAGGACGTTTATCTCTGGATTGAGCGGCCCGGGTTAAAGCCCCGTTTGGGCACAATGTTCTGTTCTTGGGCAAGACACTTTACTCTCCCAGTGAATCTCTCCACACAGGTGTATAAATGATTACCAGGGTAACCCTGCTTTGGGCTAGCAACCCACCCAGAGGGGGAGTAGAAATACCCCTAGTTAACGCTGTAACAATACATCGAACTATCAATTATCGCAATATTATCGCTGCGATAGCGATGGATCAATAGAAAAAATGAAGCAGTATGCGAACTAGTGATAGTTTCAATAATTTCTATGCTTCTGACTTTTTAACTTCTTTGGAAAATAAAGACACCGTTTTTCACCCATCTTTGATTCTCAAGGTCATAATAACTGTAAACAGTACAAAACAATCTACTGTCCAACTGCACCTAGAATGTTTTAGCAACTTGATTCTTGAACCACTTTGTGTCTAATGTTAGAGGGGGATTCTATAAATTGCCGAGGTTTGCTCCAACTTCAAACACGGCAGCCAATTTTGTAATCATTGCCAACAAAAAAGGAACGGCTTCTGGGTGGAAGTAAGTTGGCTTCATCAAAGAAAATGAAGACTCTGGCATCAAAAATGCAACAGTGGGGTGCAGATTATGCATGACAACACTGAAATATAGTGAAAATACGACGAATCTGATGGACCAAAAATGTCATAAATTGAGAGATTTGAAAGGTTCGACCTCGTCAGTTGTGCTCAGATGCCTCAAGTCCAGTTGGACCAGTAACTCAGCTGACTGAACAGAAGTCTCTCTCCCAATTCTTTCAGTGACCTTTTCCACATAATTCAAGTAGAGCAAGGGATATTTTGAATTGTATTTTGCAGTTTATCATGAAAGACTTATGCCCATTCTTAGTTATTTCCTAAAGTATAAGGCATTAAGTAAAAACAGATATTCCTGAAAACTATCACAACACTATTGCAATAGTAGCTCCACTATCGCAATACCCATGTGACCTATTGCAATACAATATTATGATTGCAATAGTTGAAATTTTCCAAATAGTCACCTCTACTCCTAGTCACTTCATGCTACAGAAACCGGGATAAGCTTTGGCCTGATGGGCCACTTGGCTTGTATGCAGACTTCACCTACCTTTTACCTAGTGCATGTCAACTATATTGTACATCTAACTTTTTAACAGAAAAATGTCTTTCAAACTAATTAAGCAAATTAGTTACTATGAACTGAACAATCATTCATTACATTTGTACTCACTATTTTAGCAAGATGTTTGGCGTATGTGAGATGTACAGACAAGTGATCTGGTTTACTCTTTAGTGATTCTTTGTACCATTTTTCTGCCTCATCAATATTTCCAGTTGCAGAGTATGCCTCACCTAGGATAGCATATTTGATTTAAATACTTAAAATCTATGCATGTTATTTGTACAATCAATCAATTAGATAAATCCAAATGTACCTAGGTACTTTTCACAGCCACTATGACAAAGCAAAGTACACTCTTCTGAAGATTACATAACCCAGGACAACATAATATATTTACAGGTAAATGAAGACATGCTAGTTTTTTGCTTGAAGTTAAATGTAAAATAAATCCAGTTATTTTAAAGTGGTACTACGACAAAAATGGCATCTTTCCTATCCAAGCCATTTTAAAACATAAACAAGTAGTCTGCATGAGGAGAAAAATGCTGTTTACGTATTTT